CACATAAGTCGAGGACAAGTGTAGTGATCTCTAGGATGCAACACCCGTCCTGGCCGTCATTTCACAAAGCTACAGTAGGTCTATGCTGAAGCATTGGACTGGAACGTGGCCCTGGGGCTGTTTAGCCTTACATGTTATCTAGTAAACAGATTATTGACTCCAGACGAACTCGTACACTCGTATTTTTCTCTACGTCACCTCCAATCCGTGTAAATGTGAGTTAATACCTGATAACGTTATATTTGATTTGTCCTTTTTCTGCCTTAAAATCACAAATCAAATCCCATATACGAAGTATTATCTTCCTTGTGTTAGGAACGGGTCAGCCTGATCTCTATTAGATATTTTTAAATATTTTATTCAAAAAGGTTCGTTGAAATTGCACTGTCACAACTTATAATGATTTTCTGACTGCCATTCAGTGAAAGGTCCAAGTGGTTTCTTAGAGAAATGGAGCATAAAACCACGGATAACTAAAGAAGGCACGCCTAGCTTCTCAGAGACAGTAATGTGCTCTGACGAACCTGCGTGGGTCTCAGGGGACCGAATCGACAGGCAAAAAATCGGTTCTCTTCACATATCACAACAAAGAAGCCCTCTTCAAAAACCATTTAACCAGCAGAAAGGAGACAGATAAAACCGACCAAGTCTATCCCATGATGCACCTCCAAGCTTCACCTCTGAACAACCCTTCGGGCGAGTTGGACATCTCTTGAAACATGCGCCATTCGCGAAGCACTTCTGAACAACGTCATCAAGTAATGGATACACTTATAACCCTTTCAGCATTCACTGGCCGGGCCGCGAAGCTGTAAACTGCAGATTAGTACTATTTTCCCCTTCTTGCCTTCAGGATTCGATGGAGTAGACTCTAGTAAGCCTGATTGATGTTAGAGACGCCGGATCACAGGGTCTGTGCTCAAACTAAGAAGTCTCCCGCTGTACAAATATTGACTCAACTCGACAGCGTAATGCCGAGGTGTTCTCGCTAGCTTTCCACTTGGAGGTTTTAAACAGTGTGTCCCATTAACATGACAGCTATAGCAAGTCCATATTTTCCCCGTGAGTTTGGAATGGTCCTCTTTCTCATTCGCGTGACTAATTTTAACCTGTAGATTTTTGGGGCAGTTTGTTACAATGTGACTGACTTGGCACAGTATGTTTAGAAAATACCTGGCGACAGTGGGACCAAACAGCATCATGTGATAGCGGCTATATATAGACCTGAGCTAAATTTGTCCACTCATCAGCATTCGGGCCTATTCGGGTCGGCTTTTTCCGTTTCGTAAATAATACATCGGTGAACACCGGAACAGTTATATTGATTCTTATTTAAATGTAAAAATCAGATTCCTCCACATACGGATTGTATAACACTGTGATAAGAGCATATTTCCATGGCTAAGAAATCTAGCAGAAGAATGTAAGGATCACGAGAACTAGTGAAACTAGTGTTTCCAGTTCCAACATGGATGCCTCCCAATGTTTGAATACACAATGCCATTGAGAAAGTGGTCAAATGTACCATATGTCATATTTGGGATTACATCCTCAGTAAAGTACCGATTCAGTATTTTTATTTTTTTTTTGGGGGTTGAGTCCACACCCTCAGAGTCAGGCACCTAATCGCCAGCGCACAAAGTCAGCCGCCTAGCCCGTTCAGCCACCGTCATGCCACATCCATATGCTTACCGAAAAGACGTTTGGTTCGAATGGACGGTGGACACAACAGAAAACACTCACAAAATGTTTAAACGAATACTGTTGCAATTATGGCATGTCTGTCGTGGGATAAAACTTTAACTGCAAATGTGAAGGGGTATACATGAAAGATGTGCCCTTAATAGAAGTAGCACACGAACTACGTCAAAACTGAATCACTAATCGCACAATTTGTCAATTTCTCATGACAGCAAAATATATTTAGACAGTTGTTTACCTACTGAATCTGATACTAAATATATACAAATTCAGCTGGAACCTCATGACTTATGGAGTCTGCTATCAAATCGTCACAATATCGATACGGTAGGTCAAGCTAACTGCCCGGATGTTCTAGTTAGTTACGTCACATGGGTGTGTCATAATCCAGTTGTCGTGGGTTCGGATTCCAGATTCACCTTGATTTTGATCCTCGTTTAGTCGGCACCATGCCCTTGTTCATCGACGTCACGCCAATGTTAAATCTGTTAGTACTACATTTATAAAAAATGAAAAATGGTTTATTGGCTCTGAAAGACTGGAATCTGTTTCCTATTACAAATATCTCGGAATAGTGTTTTCATGCCGGAACCTGTTTGCAAGAGCTTGTGAGGTTCTGTGTAAACAAACCGAGAAGGCGTTATATCCTATCCAAAAAATTATATGTCGATTTAAATCTCTTTCCCCAGATACATTCCTTAAGATTTTTGATGGCAAAATTCAACCAATCTTGCTCTACGGCTCAGAAATTTCGGGAACAATGTATCGTCATAACAATGAAAAAGTCCATTCTAAGTTCTGCAAATTTGTTCTAGGAGTTGGTTATCGCTCTTCTAATAGAGCTGTTTTAGCGGAATGTGGAAGATATCCACTTCTTGTTAATTATAAAACAAGAGTTATATCATACTGGTTACGACTACTCAGTCAGCCAGCCACAAGACATTCTAAACGTTGCTATAACATGATGAAAAATCTAGATGATAATGGAGATACTAACTGGACCTCTTCAGTTAGAACATCGTTATTTCAATACGGTTTTGCATATGTATAGATCCACCAAAAAGCTGGAGATTCTAATATGTTCTTAAAGCTATTCAAAACAACGTTGTAGAGATATATGTTACCAAGAATGGTCATCCGCTATTGCAAGCTCCAAATATTTGTATGCATATTCACTATTTAAACATGGCATTGTCCATGAAACATATTTAAAAGTATTATCCTCTATGCAACTCCGCAGATCTCTTACAAAATTTAGATGCGGCATCAGTAAACTGAATGTACAAACCATTAGAAGATCCAAAGATGATGATATCAGTTCTGCCATGTGCGCCCATTGCGTCAATATTGTCCAGGACGAGTACCATGTTCTATTATCTGCCCTGTTTATTCTGATTTACGCATTAGGGTGCCGTTGTACAAAAACGATCTTAGCGCTAAGGTGATCGTAACTCCAATACCTTAACATAGACTTACGACAGTCGTAGCGCTAAGGTAGCTTTGTACAACGGCACCCTGGTATATGCCCCAATATTACTGTGTAAATCCCAACATACAGAAGTTTGTAAATTTACTTAATACCCAAAATGCAAATGCTATTTTACGCCTAGCCATATTTGTAAACAAAATCCATAACGTTTCATGATGCTTATAAATAACAGTGTACTTCTCATGCCAGCGCTCCAAAGAAAATTATGTAAAAATGTCACTTTACTTTTGGCCTCATGGCCACTCTACAAAATAAATCTGTCTGTCTGTCTTTCTGTCTTTCTGTCTTTCTGTCATTAGTACAACGTTAGTACAACGTAACGTCATACGGACTTGTTCTCAAGGCGAGGGTGGAGTGTCTACGCATCCACAGCGGGTAGCGGCCGCCTACCACTACGCCGGCTCCCAAGATCCATATAGCTCTCCCAGTTAAACACCTCCGTCACCTGGAATCTGTTCTGTATTACGCTTGTGATCAATACCGACATGGGTTGATCGGGGAATGGGCGAAAGATTTCGTAGTTGCCGTAATGTTTCCCCCTGAATGAAAGTTCCGTTATAAATGATAGTGGAACTGTGCCGAGAACTCAGTCAGTTACCTGACAACCAATTTAAACATTTGCTCGCGGGGACTATGGTCGCCCAGACCAGCTACTCTCTGGGAGCGTAACAGGGGACATGCATGTATTTCTTGCTCAAAACGTTCACGTTTCTCTCTTTGTAGTTATAAATATCAGTTGCTATGCAGACTAGTATCTGTCGTGGATATTTATAATGTGTATAGATCAGCTTACTAACACCATAACATCGTCTCTAATGGTGGGATAGCTACGTTTTCGCTCGTCATGTCGAAGTTCGATTCCCCACATTGGAAAAATATTTCCAACCCGTTTTTGGTTTTTCTGCCAGGTTCAGTTTCACACATGGTGTAAGCCTTGGTGTGTACTACCGTGGTATGGTGGGAATAGTACTATAGGTGTCGGGAAGATCCGTATAGCTGAAGGACTCAATTCCTGTTTTCATACTCTTTTATCGTCTTTGAGGAATCCCCACAAGTCTTTGAAATACGGTTTTGTAGAATCATCGTAGAACAGCAAATGAAACAGAACATTTGCAATATTCCTCATAAAAGTATATTTAGCTCATTGTTTCTTCAATACAACAATCCAAGAATGATTTGAAGACTATATGAAAGGTTAAAAGTGCTTCCTTTCAGACTAGGTGGTTGTAATGAGAACCGTTTTAGACCATCAACTCCCATCTCTCTGGAAAAGGCCACGTGGCTGAACACTGTGTGTGGGCATCATATGCTATATTAATATATCATTAAACGTTTTTGCACTAAATATACTAAAGGAAAATAGTAACTATGCTTCATATAAAGATCAATAAAAATATATTTATTCTGAAATAACATAACGCATCTTTTGTTTCTTTTATACATTTTCATGAAGACATCTCCTCGAATTTCACGTCGCGATTCACAATTTGCACGTGAATGTTCATGCATGGCGCACACTTTGGGTTATTGCCTGTATGTTAGGACAGAATACTCACACGCGATTGTTTCTATGTGAACACTAATACCGTATAGCTATCAGAAACACTTTTTCTCAAATATATACGAGGGGCTATCAATAGGTTTTGAGCCTAACATATTTAGAGGCATAACATCGATGCAGTCACGATATATTTCTCAACATTATCGCCTTGTAAGTAGATGCACTTGGTCCACCTTGTCTGCCAGACATGTATACCTTGTCTATAGAAGTCCTTTTCTTGGTACTGTAGCCACGTCTCCACAACTGAAGTGAGTCCATGATCATCCGTGAATCTCCTACCACGGAGTCCATGATCATCCGTGAATCTACTACGGAGTCCATGATCATCCCTCCGGAGTCCATGATCATCCGTGAATCTCCTACCACGGAGTCCATGATCATCCGTGAATCTCCTACCACGGAGTCCATGATCATCCGTGAATCTCCTACCACGGAGTCCATGATCATCCGTGAATCTCCTACCACGGAGTCCATGATCATCCGTGAATCTCCTACCACGGAGTCCATGATCATCCGTGAATCTCCTACCACGGAGTCCATGATCATCCGTGATCATCTCGTGAATCTCCTACCACGGAGTCCATGATCATCCGTGAATCTCCTACCACGGAGTCCATGATCATCCGTGAATCTCCTACCACGGAGTCCATGATCATCCGTGAATCTCCTACCACGGAGTCCATGATCATCCGTGAATCTCCTACCACGGAGTCCATGATCATCCGTGAATCTCCTACCACGGAGTCCATGATCATCCGTGAATCTCCTACCACGGAGTCCATGATCATCCGTGAATCTCCTACCACGGAGTCCATGATCATGCGTGAATCTCCTACCACGGAGTCCATCATCCGTGAATCTCCTACCAGAGTCCATGATCATCCGTGAATCGCTTACCACGAGTCCATGATCATCCATGACATGATCATCCGTGATCTCCTACCACGGAGTCCATGATCATCCGTGAATCTACCACACGGAGTCCATGATCATCCGTGAATCTGAGTCCATGATCATCCGTGAATCTCCTACCACGGAGTCCATGATCATCCGTGAATCTCCTACCACGGAGTCCATGATCATCCGTGAATCGGAGTCCTACCACGTAGTCCACGGAGTCCATGATCATCCGTCATCTCCTACCACGTGATCATCCGTGAATCTCCTACCACGGAGTCCATGATCATCCGTGAATCTCCTACCACGGAGTCCATGATCATCCGTGAATCTCCTACCACGGAGGTGCTTCTTCAGATCAGGAAACAGGTGGTAGTCACATGGTGCCAGGTCTGTAGAATAGGGTGGGTAAAGTAGGATTTCAAATCCAGATTCAAATCAGCGGCCAGTGCAACACGACTGGTGTGGACCAGAGCGTTGATGAAGAAGACCTACATGTCTGAGTTTGCCACGGGGCTTCTTCTTGATGAACTGTCTCACTTTCTTCAGTCTTCTTGGGATCCATCGTGCGCAAACCTTAGACATGTGGAGATGTTCATGCGGGATGGTTACATCTGATCCATATGAGATGTCACGTGTCTGCTGTAACCCATGGATGGAGATTCGACGGTTGCTCATGGCCAGGATATGCACCTGGTCAATGTGTTCCGGGCTGGTGCTCGCTATGGGTTGAACAGGGCGGTGGTCATCTTCAAGACCCTCTCTACAGCACTGAAATTCCCTCACCCATCGCGTGATGGTTGCAGATGATGGGCAAGACTCCCCATATACTGCTGTCAACCGCTTTTTAATGTGCTTCGCCGGGTTGTCCAAAACCTTTATGACTGCTCTGTACTCAATCTTATCCATTTCTGCCCTTTCAATAGGGGTACATGTAATAAGTTGTCACGTGACCGGAAACTAGCGACATGTACATGTCAATATTACGTTTATGTGAATGACATAAGCCATTGTTCAATGTCATACAGTTTTATCATGCACATATCAGAAGTATTTTAGGCTCAAAACTTTAGATAGCCCCTCGTATGACTCTAACGCTATGCAACGGCTCTCTGAGAACGAATGTCTACTCGCCGTGGGCATGCTGCAAACAGATGCTGCCAGACATTTTAATGTTTACCGAAACACAATACATCTCTTTGGAGACGTTGTCTACAGCAAGGAAACACTCATGACCTAGCATGGGTCAGTCGCCTACGTATGACGTCACGTCAACACGACGAACACATTCGGTCGGGGAATCTAGGATAATGATCAATTGTACGACTCGGACAATTTCTGGGATAGGACCAATTTGTGACGGAACTGTACACAACCGAAGGGGTTCAATATATGAACCCAGTGATACGCTTAGTTCTGCTTCCACGTCAACGTCTGACACGCGTTGCTGTGTGCAGTAAGCATCAGGGAGTCAGAAGACTGGAACTGTCCACAGATTAGTAAAGCTTTCATCAGGACAGTTCCGGTGGTAGTGCTAAGGTTTACCTGTGTCCAACAGGACGTTTTAGGCACGCCTGTGTTACTCAACGTCATCACTTGGGGTTGGAAGTGTGACTGTATTGAGTGGTATTACAACTCACCATTGTCAAGACCCATGAAGATCCGGGTTAGAATTGGTCTTCAGCAACTCACACTTGTCGTAAGGGACGACTGAGGGGATTGGCTGGTCAGGCTCTCTGACTTGGTTGACACATGTCATCGCCCAATTGCGTAGCTCGATGCTCATGCTGTTGATCACTCGATTGCCTGGTCCAGACTCGAATATTTACAGACCGCCATCATATAGCTGGGAAACAGCTGGTGACGACATTAAACAACCAACCAACCAGCATTGTCAATGACCTTGAAGAAGATGGTGTTCCACCCGTTGCGCAAATGAACATCACGTTGCAGCTGTGACCCCTTACACGTCCGCAGTTGTTGGCGCTTACTTTTTGATGCAGCATAAATTTGCTCTACTGCCAAGACCGGCTGTTTCTTCAGATCTCCACCACAAAAACTGCCTGGGATGAGACGGGTCGACTCCTTCGACAGGACCCAAACCAACCATTAACGATAATTCAGTTTGACGTCAGTACTTCAGAGGAACGTGTGAACTACTTGTACTATAGTTACTATTTGTAACCAACCAATCGTTGGATGACTTACCCCAGTGACCGGGCTACCACGAAGTGACCAAAGAGTGTTCAGTTTATATGTTATTTGCTTGGCGTCATGTGCAATAGGTGCAAAGCATTGATCCATCTGTTTCATGCATTGCTGCAATGTCGGACAATAGAAATAGCTCATGTTGGGGGTAATACTTATTAACTTCCGTCCGTTCTTTGCACCTAACACCCGAATTGGAATGTCCTCTTGAGTACATAGTGGTCTCATTAATGAACGATCACAAACGCTGGTAAAACATACACATGTGTTGCGTTCATACCGAACACTCATGTTTGGGTGCGATGGGGTAGCCTAGTGGTGAAAGCGTTCGCTCGTCACGCTGAAGATCCGGGTTCGATTCCACATGGATACAATGTGTGAAGCCCATTTCTGGTGTCCCCCGCCGTGATGCTGCTTGAATAGTGCTAAACGCGGCGTAAAACTGAACTCACTCACTCACTAACGTATGATCAGCTCGTAAAACGTCCTCAAGTCTGTACAATCGCCACACGTAGGAGTTAGGAATCTTGTTGTTCGCATTTTTAAGAATAACTTATATGTTTGTAATCTAGAAATAACCTGCCACGCGTCGGCGAGAATGTCTAGAACAGATAAAGTATTTGAGGACGATAGTTTCAGTCGGGCGGGCTGCTCTGGTAACAACTCAGTGATATTATTCCATATTCCACATACAGAACTAGGAGACGGTTTGACGGCGGGTAGGACTAAGAGACGGTGTGACGGCGGGTAGGACTAGGAGACGGTTTGACGACGGGTAGAACTTGGAGACGGTTTGACGGCGGGTAGAACTTGGAGACGGTTTGACGGCGGGTAGAACTAGAAGACGGTTTGACGGCGAGGGGTAGAACTAGGAGACGGTTTGACGGCGGGTAGAACTAGGAGACGGTTTGACGGCGGGTAGAACTAGGAGAAGGTTTGACGGCGGGTAGAACTTGGAGAAGGTTTGACGGCGAGTTTGACGGCTGGTAGAACTAGGAGACGGTTTGACGGCGGGTAGAACTTGGAGACGGTTTGACGGCGGGTAGAACTAGGAGACGGTTTGACGGCGGGTAGAACTAGGAGACGGTGTGACAACGGGTAGAACTAGGAGACGGTTTGACGGCGGGTAGAACTAGGAGACGGTTTGACGACGGGTAGAACTAGGAGTCGGTTTGACGGCGGGTAGAACTAGAAGACGGTGTGACGGCGGGTAGAACTAGGAGACGGTTTCACGGCGGGTAGAACTAGGACTCGGTGTGACGGCTGGTAGAACTAGGAGACGGTGTGACGGCGGGTAGAACTAGGAGACAGTTTGACGGCGGGTAGAACTATATGGTGGCGGACTGTAAATAATCGAATCTCGACCAGACAATTCGGTGAGCATCGATACGATGACATGTTTCAACCAAGTCAGCGATCCTGACCACCCGATCCCTTCAGTCTACAAGCATGGGTTGCTGAAGACCAATTCTAACCCGGATGTTCAAGGGTATCCGTGCGACTGTGGCTACACTTCTGTGATTGTTGTAACAATTACAACAATCATTAAATAAGAGCTGTTTGACAATCGAGTGCTGTCGCTGTCATAGTGACCATATTTTCTGGCATTGTTGCTATTCCGCTTTCTTGTGTATTCCTCTTCCAAAGTAAAATGGTACCGAATTTCAATTTCAGTCGTTTTTGTTTAAATCAGAGCCAAATCTGTTATTGTTACCATTTTACAACGCGTAATTTGGTTTTTCAAGCATATGCAACAACATGTAGTGTTTTAGTACTTTAGTCCAAACATTCCCGGATTACTGCCCACGAGTATGTTACCTTACATACATAGTTCTGTGTTACTCAGACACAGCAGAATGTCTCCATTGTACGCAGCAATGTATCGCCTCGAGTTTCCATAGAAGCATGAAATACTCTGTAGTGTCACTGGATGCACTGTTCCTGCGATCCCTTCAGTGACTGGTTGGTTTTGAGGCCTACGCTGCATTGCAGAGCAGATGTGCAACAAACTCACTCTTTCCGTGAGTGGTACCAGCTACCAGTAGGGCAGCAGGCGCGTCCCCTGAACACGTGGGGCCAGCATTGATCTTCAGTGATCCCTACATACATCTTGTACCGCCACGTTGCCTTTTACGCCGTGTGGAATCTGTTTCTGAAGATGGTCGAGACTGGTTATTGTCAGGCGCTCCCGTGATATATTTACAGATATATCCATTTCCGGAATCGAGCCAGAAACTTCAGCAGGAAAACACCGCACGGTCCTCAGTAATAACGATAGGAATGTGGGCACTTCCCCGTCTGTGTACCCACTGGGTTACATGACTGTTTCAGAGTGAGTGAGTGAGTTTAGGTTTGCGCCGCACTCAGCAATATTCCAGCTATATGGCGGCGGTCTGTAAAGAATCGAGTCTGGGCCAGATAATCTAGTGATCAACAGCATGAGCATCGATCTGCGCAATTGGGAACCGATGACATGTGTCA